CTCCAAAGTAATGGACAAGCGGAAGTTTCCAACAAAACTATGCTGGCAGGAATCAAGAAGAAACTCGAGGAGGCAAAAGGGAGATGGACTAAGGAATTACTTAATGTGTTATAAGCCTATAGAACCACGTCGAGGACATCGACGGGAGAAACCCCCTACGTCTTGACATATGAGGTTGAAGTTGTCATCCCATTGGAGGTGGGACTCCCAACAATACGAAGCCAAGCCTTTGAGTTGGGAAACAATGACCAGGTGCTCGCTAGAGATCTCGATTTAGCTGAAAAAAGGAGGGTATTGGCATCCATCAAGCTGGCAAGGTACCAAGGGAAACTATCGAAGCAACACCAGAAGAAGGTCCGAACGAGAAATTTCCAAGTCAGAGATTTTGTATTACAAAAAGTGGTGGGCAATACTCGCGAACCCACTGACGAGAAACTAGACCCCAACTGGGAGGTCCCTTACAAAGTGGTCTCTGTGGGGGGTACAGGCGCATATAGATTGCAAAGTATGAACGGTGATGATGTAACCCGGCTATGGAATGTATCGAATTTAAAGAAATACTACTACTAAATTGGATTTCAGGCTTTGCTTATGGTTGTATTAACACGAGCCAAGTGCTTTGTCGTTAGGGGTATGGCCCCGAGGGGTGTAAGACTCCATCTTTGGAGCAACACCTTTAAATTATAAACACGAGCCCAATACTCGGTCGTTACGGGTACGGCCTTAATGGGAGTAGGACTCTACCTTTGGAGCAACGCCTTCAAATTATAAACACGAGCCAAGCGTTCGGTCGTTAGGGGTACGATTCCGAGAGGTGTAGGACTCCACCCTTGGAGCAATGCCTTCAAATTATTAACACGAGTCAAGCGTTCAGTCGTTAAGGATACGACCCCGAGGGGTGTAACACTCCACCCTTGGAGCAACGCCTTCAAATTATAAACACGACTGAGCGCTCGGTCGTTAGGGGTACGACTCCGAGGGGTGTAAAACTCCACCCTTGGAGCAACGCCTTCAAAATATAAACACGAGTCAAGCACTTAATCGTTAGGGGTATGACCCCGAGGGGTGTAAGACCACCCTTGGGGTATGGTCCCGAGGGATTTTAAGACCCACAAGTAAGTTCAATGCAAGTTTTCTCAGATTTCATTTATTAGGAATTTCTCTTTCCTTATGGATTCAACGTGAAGCCTTGCTACCTTAGGTCTACCTTTCATGCTACTTCAGAAGGTCGTTACTGACTTATAACATCAAGGCCGTTTCCTAGAAACAAAGTGGCATGATGCAGGAAAGAAAGAAGACCACACGCAGGAAAAATAAAGTTTCATTACATTCAAAAAGGGGCTTTGCGTCCTGAGATTACAAAGAAAGTTACAAAACACGTCAAAAGCACTGGACATAGAAGTTGCACAAATTCAACGGCTGCTAAGAGCCCTCGGCTCCTTCCTCCCCAACTTCTCCCCCACCGAGGCCACCACGCCACCTTTGTAACTCCTCTCCAACCCCCAATATCTCGTCCAGTTCAGTATCATGTACTCCAGTAATGATTGAAGGCGGAGGAGGAGGAAGATCATCTGCTTGCTCGGCGGATGGCAAAGACGGAAGAGCAGCAAAGGTTGGTCAGAACTATCGCTAAGGGTGATGGGTTCGTTCTCACCCTCGGCCCCGGCCGCCCCTTCTGCCTAAGTTTGCTCACTTGGGTCGGCTTGAACTTGTTCCTCCAGAACTTCATCATCGGCCTCCCCTCGAAGGCTATGCTTGGCAAACAAGTCCAAGCCGGCCTCAACGTGGCAGGCACAAAGGGCGGCGTCCCAACCTTCTTTGAAAGCCTTTTTCTTGGCCTCCTCAAAGGCGAGAACCATTTGGTCCTAGGTGGCCAACCACACTCTTTGGTATTCTGATTGCAACCTTTCCTACTCCTCCGCCTTCTCTGCTATTAGGGAGTCCACCTTAGCGGTAAGTTCATTGATGACGGACTCGGACTTCTACAGCTTGACCTCGCCAAAGTAGACTCGCAACTCAAATTCTTCAACTTTCTTGATCACCGCAGCCTCACCCGTTTTCGCCTTTTCCAATTCAGCATTGAGGGCATCTTGTTGGCGGATGAGCTCGGCGATATGCCGGGTCTAGTAGCCGAGGGTCCTCTCTACCTTGAGGATGTGCTCATCCTTAGTAGTTGTTGCTCGCTTGGCATCTCTCGCCACCTGCTTATACTCCCAAAAACGCTCGATGATGGCCCCTACCTACTGGCTGGCATGACAAGAGAAAGGACTGTCAGAAGTGACCACCAAGTATGCGGCAAGGAACACTCGGGAAAGCTTCGCACTTACCACCAAGTTGCTTTGAATGGCGCTCATCAGGAGCTAGTTGTCTGTATAACCTTTGTACACGGTCATATCAACGTCAAATTGGAAAGTCCTCGTGACGGCAAGCGTCACTTCAGGGGACTGGAGAATAGAGTTTGCCTCCAGGATAGGGTGGCCTTTCCTGGTTTCTGTTCGGGGGGCCCATTCTGCAGAGATGGCTGGGCCCGGGGCGTCGTGACGGTGCTTAACTTGGCCCTCTTCATACTCCTCGGATTGCCGGGCGCATCGCTCCTTCTACTGATCTTCGGAGGGGGGGACTTGTTGAGATGGGGCCCTTTGCCTCGATGGCACAACTAGATCCCCGGAAGGCTGAGGATGCTGCGGCAGTGGGGGTGGTTGTTGTCGGGGAAAGGCCGGCGGTGGAATGATAGGAGCCGTGCTGGAAGGCCCAGCCAGTCCAGCGAGCCTGGCTCTCCTCGCTGCAGCGGCGACCTCCATTGTTGCGGCAGTGATTGGGGGAGGGTTGAACATTTCCTTAGAAGGGGCAGAAGGGTCGGCAGAAGGGCGCTCTGAATCTTGCTCGGACTCTTCCACTTCTGATGAAGAGCGGTCCTCCTAGAGAGAAGGATTGAAGGCAAGGGGGATCTAGGAGAATCTGCTATAAGTTGGCACGTAGTCGAGCAGAGTATGCGCCGCTCGCTCAACGGGGTCACAGGACCAAACTCTTAGAAGGTTGACAAATCTAACTTGAGACCTCAAGGGTTGAGCAACGTCCCGACGATATCTTTCTGTAAAAACAAATAGCCGAGGTCAACACTAGTGATAGCGAGATCAATACAAGTCTAAAAAAAGGGAAAACACACCTTCATCTCTCGGCACCTTGGGACAGTATAATCGGACATATTCGGGCATGTGGGTTACCAAATACATCGAGATATTTCGAGCCTAGAGGTAATATCTTTCCCCGGCGACTAGCCTTAGGTCATAGTAGAACAAAATTTCATCTACTCCTAAGTTTGTCCCCAACCGAGCATTCAAGGCGACTACGCCCATCACAATCCTAAAGAAATTAATCCCGCATTGAAGGGGGAAGAGCTTCAGTTGCATCAGCATCTTCAACAACATGGGGTGGAGGGGGAAGGTCAACCACCCTTTCATGATGGCCTTTGTCGAAAAAGGCATCATGTCTACACTTCCCATATGGTGGGTGGGTTAAAAGGGAAGATGAAGATGGGCTCAGAGATGTTGTATTTAGCCCTAAAGGTGTGAATATTCTTGTTAGTCACTTGGGTTCTCCTCAGTTTGGAATTTGCCCTAGCCCTGACAGGTACCTCCCCCCTGGTTCTAGCCATTGGTGGGTTCTAAAAGGAAGAAATGTAGAAGAAATGAGAAAAAAGCTCGAGAGCAAGTACTTACAGGAAGGTGGTATTCGAAGAGGGAACTTGAAGAAGGACGAAGGGAACTTGGAGGAGAACAGAGGAGTGCTCGGGGGCTGGTTGCTCAAGGGAAGTTGAGGATGCAAAAGTTCTGAGAAGACATAAACACCTCCTATTTATACTACTTTACCAGGGGTGGGAATCAAGAAGTCGAGCCATCATTAGGGAATTTGAAAAGGGCAGTGCCAGACGTGCAAGTAACCGTCGCTATTAATGAGGCGCGTTTATTGAGCCTCCAATCTCTTTACGCCACTTATCCCACGCCGCAAAAGGAATGGAGGTTGAGGGGCAGTTGGCGGGACTCTAAGTGGCTCTACAGCCCCCAGACTGACATGTGGATAGACGAAGCCGTTGTAATGTCCAAAAGGCGCCGAGGAGGTAAGCCAAGATATGGTGTTTTTGAGGAGCTAAGTACGACAGCTGACACCGCATTTAATATGATATGACCTTTCATTTATGGCGGAATGAGTGATGATGACAAGGTTATTAAGGAGCACCTACGAATGCCTGCAGTCTGAGAGTCTAGGCCTAACATCATGATGACTACTATGCCGAGTATATATAGTCGATCCTTTCCGAGGAACTGTTCCCCCGAATATTCAATGCTCAATTGCGGGTGTCAGACGCTGATTTAAGAGATGAGGATACTCAGGGAAGGGCATAAATGCTCGGCATGGTGCCGAACACTCGTCCCATCATCCTAGCATTGAGTAGGAGAAGACTTGAGTGGAGAACACTCATTGCGCAGGAGGAAGTGTGTCAGACATTAAATGTCCAGATGGGACTTGAGGTCTTTGACACTCATTGCTAATTCATATATAAAAATTCCTCAGCAAAATGAACAAATGTATGCAAGATTGAACCAGAAAAAACTATTCATTGAACTTGAATCTCGAATCTTGAGACTGACCTAAGCTTCGGAGGGAATAAGCCAGGTGTTCACCTGACCCCCCTTTTTCTGACACTGTGATTATTTCAGGTTCATCAGGTTAGAGGTCGCTGTCTCAAACTATTGCAAGAATTATCCCGTGTAATTTGTATGACCAATGTGCTTCTAATTATAAGTGTAAACATGAAACATCATCGTCGTATCTTATGATCACTAACATCTATTGTTAGAATCAATCCAATAACAAGACACGACACCTATGACATGCATCAACGATAATGTGATATTACTTTATGTTGAATATTCATCTAAAAGAAAAGCAAAAAAAAAAAAAACATGTTTTGCTTCTTTTTTTTTACATATAAGCATAAAATCCGTATCATCTCACTCATAATTTGTTTTACATAAGTAAATTAAATAAAAAACTTGGTCAAGGCCTACATCAATTCCCATCTCTACTTCAATCTTGCTTCTTGAATGAGAAAACCAATGCCGGTGACAGCCACAATCATCTTATATATTCTTCAATATGCAGGGAAGTGAAAATCCATCAAAGCTACACACATACACTTCATGAAGATATCATTCACCTCTTAACTGTTCAATCTTCTCAACAGCTTCCTTCAAATCCAGCCTTATTTCCAAATCCTCTTCACAACAAGCCACTCCAATCTTCAAAAGCTTCACCATTTCTCCTTCACCAATCTTGGTAAACTCCATTTCTCTGTCAAAAACTTCTGTGCTCTCTTCTCTAATGATGGACTGGACCCAGCTTGATAAATCTGCAGCAGAACCTGGAACAAGATAGCTGGCCGGGAACTGTCCGGTTAATATCTCCAGTATCAGGATTCCGAGACTCCACACGTCGGTCTTCTTGGTGGTGTGACCATTTTGGGCATATTCTGGTGATTTGTAAGCCACCAGGAGCTGCTGTGCTTGTCCTAGATTGACCACAGGCACTAGAGTGTAATCCATCAAGAATGGATCAAAGGATTTATCAAGAAGCACATTTGAAGATTTCAGGTGGCCGTGGGGTAGAATCAGGCTGGGAAGCTCACTGTGGAGATAAGCCAAGCCCTTTGCCACTCCTTTGATAATTTTCAATCTAGTTGGCCAATCAAGCCCACCTTTGCCCATAGTATGCTTGCCTGAACAACCAAAATTGGAGTTATTATCATATCACAACCTACTATCGATTGTATAACAAAAGGATGATAATAAAGCAGCATGAATAACAGGGGGTGCCTTACTGTCAAATATCCGAGTGATGACTGTGAAGTATTATCAATCCAATTATCACAATACATTCTGCACAACTTCTCTCACTTTTTTATTCGCGGGTCTTTCCATTAGTGAGGTGAAAGTGATCAATAGTGCCACGACATGTTGAGGTAATTTACAAGGTATTTTACAAGGTACTGAGTCTCCAACTCGACTCCATAGAGGGAAGAAATTAGGATGGATTGAACAAGCAGACTAAACTGAAAGTACATGGACATTAGCGAATGAGAAGTAGCATACCATGAAGGTGACTAGCCAAGCTGCGATTCTGCAGATAATCAAACACCAGCAGCTTCTCCTCTTTTCGGTAGTAATAAGCCACAAGGGGCAGCAAGTTCGGGTGTCTCAACCTCCCTAGCCTTCTCATGTGCTCATGAAACTCTTCTCTTCCCACATTACTCATTTGCTTGAACCTCTTCACAACCACAGCTTGCCCGTCCATAAGTACAGCCTTGTATGAAGATCCAAAGCTTCCACTCCCCAACACTTCTGCTGAGGCTCTCAGCAAATCTTGCAAGTCAAATCTCTGCCTATCATCCCTTATAAATGACAATTTTCCTTGTTCACCTTTCCTAGTTGTGTTCTGGCTTGTCTCAACCGATGATGCAGGTTCCACTCGGTTCACCTGGCAAGATGTCGAGTTGTTCGATGAGTAGGTCCTTCCCAATCGTGGTGTTTGGCGGCTCCGGCTCCGGCTCCGGAGACATACCATAACAAGCATAATGATTGCAACTAATGCTATCAAACCAGCTATGGCAACGATGGCTATTCTTAGAGGAGATGAATTGTTGTTAGGACTATCAGGAGGGTTGGGATCATTGGGAGGAGATGCCTTCCCTTCAGCAGGAGAGCTGAGAGAGTTGCATGATGATTCCAAAGGCGGTCCACAGAGATCTTTGTTACCTGCATGGTGGGTGCATTAAAGGCAGTCAACGTTGTTTTGAACTTTCAGTATGGAAATTGTCAAGTGTGGAAATTAAGTCAGAACAATGAAATAGAGGTATGCCCAATTTTTAGCAAATACATGTTACCGACTTTGGCCAATACCCACGATTTGCAGAACCTGTTAGGTGAAATCTGATCTCTTAAACTCAAGTCTCATACCTCGAGTGGGCCACACCTAGGTCCCATACCCAGACTAGAAACCCTGCCTAGGAACCTACGACTTTAGTAGTTTGACATGAATTATTGATTTTCTTTTGTTTCAACATTCAAAATCTTATGATCAATTTATACGCAATTCAATTAATTTTTTCTTTGGTTCGATCAAAGGCAATTCATCGACTAATCCCTCGTTCGTGGCTCCAAAGTATTGCTAAAATCTAAACTAAAAACGTCTACATTTATAATTCATCTTTATTACCACTTAAACTTTTAATATTGTGCTGACAATAATGTCCAGATTAATAATGATTTATTTTAGTTCGATGTTGATCAATTTAACACATGAAAAACAGAAGCCACAAGATGTGATAGATTATGTACCTGAAAACGAGCTTTGGTTCATGTTGGTGAGATTCTCAGGGATTGGACCTTCCAAACGATTGTTAGAGACATTGAACACCTTCAAACCTGTCTGAAAATCTGGTATGCGCCCTACAAACTGGTTGTTCTCAAGCCTCAACTCTAAAAGCCTCGGCGTTTTAGCGAGCGAGGTTGGAATTTTACCAGTAAAATCGTTGTTTGCCATGTACACTTTCTTCAAAGAAGCCATACCAATGAATGCATCATCTGGAATCTCACCGCCGAACTGGTTATTCGACAAAAACAATGATTTTAACGGGCCCAGTTTCCGAAAATCAGGCATCGGACCGTCGAATTCATTGTTCATGAAACTCAGAGTCCGCAAACTGCGTAAAGGAACGAGAGAATCCAAATCTATTTCACCCGTTAGATTCATGTTTTCGAGTTGTAGACCCCATACATTCCCGCTAAAGCACATAACACCGTTCCAACTCGCATAATCTCCTGAACACGGACTCGTTGAAGGATTCCAACTGGCTAAATCATTGACATCTCCCAGGGAGTTTTTGAATTTCAAAAGGGCGTCGGAGTCCGGCGAATCGAACGATACAACGGCACCGGAGAAGACGATGAGAAGCGTGAGAAGCAGTGGTGGGGTTGAGTGTGGTGGTGGGCATGGGCGCACAAGTGGGGCTGCGTGCGCGCCCATTAGCGTTGCTTTGACGACTCACAATGAGTTGCCAAGGGAATGCAGAAAACTCCAAGAATGGATTTTGATGGCATGGGGGTGGGTTGTTCTTGCTTTCTTCTTTCTTTTCCTGCTTTTTGGAGAGAGAGAGAGAGAAGTGTTGATTGGATGGGGTGTTTGAAAAACTGAGGCCAAGAATAGCATGGGAGAGAGAGAGAGAGAGAGAGAGAGGTGATATCAGAGTTGAGCAGCGTGCGGGAGATATACAAGGCACACCTTTGAATTTTTGGTGCTATTTTAATTATTATTATTATACTTATTATTGTCCCAGTTGCAAATTATTATGACCCTATACCCAATTTAATGACACAATACTACATATAATATGCATTTTATTTAAAAATGGATACATCTGTTACACCCATCAAACAAATAAATTTTAATACGAAAAGATAGGGTTGGTACTTTTAAATATAACGCGAGAACACAACTTGAAATCTATTTCACCTAAGCGAGTTAAAATTGATCATTTTTCAATACAAATCTATACATAACACGACTCGTTAACACAAATAATAACTAGGTGAAATTAGTGTCACACACGAACAAAACGAAATTAATACGATTAACATGTTTAAATAGTATTATAAGAATAAAATGTCATTTTTTACTATATTTTATCAACTAGTGACCTAATTCTTGTATAAAAAATATATTTTTACTTATTTTTATTACTATATTTATTAAGTTAATTTTTAATGTATAGAAAAAGTATGAGTATGAGTTCAACTAACTAATAACAAAATTTTACACACAAAACTAAACCTTAAAATTTGTATTCACAGGTCAACATAAAAACGACTCAAAGATAAATAAGTTGACAAGAGATGATAAGTTAAACAAGTTATGTTAGTATTGACTAATACACGATACGAACTTAAAATAACACGACACGAATACGATCCAACTTAATTGCCACCACTATGCAGCGACACATTGCCAACTTCTGATACTAAATTGAACAAAGCCTCGCCTATGAGCCTAGGTATTGTTGGTTTCAATATCTTTCATCCAAACAAAAAGGAAAGAAAAACAGTTGGTTACTATAAAAAGAAAAATATCCAATACACAAAACTCACAATTATAACGAAGAGTCAGAATTCCTGAGCTCGAACCTGTGACTACCAAGTTTAACAAGTACCACCACCAATAAAAGCAGTTACTAGTCTCAACCAATAACACTACCATCCATAGCTAGCATTGGATGCCGTTTGAATTTGCAATATGCCTCACTGTGGGATGAGTCACTCTAGATGTCACACAAAGCGACTCCAACTAGCCATCTCTCTATTAAACATCTTGAAGAAGTCAAGAAGCCATACCATTCAACCGCTGGTAAAGCTCCTCAACAACTCTATTTCTAGGGACATCGTACTCTTTATTGGCCACAACATCTTTTAGTTTAACAATCCCTTCATTAAGTTCCCGCTCACCAACAATAACCATGAAAGGGATCTTTGACTCTAATAAGCGATCAATGTGCTTCTTCATTCTTTTATTAACGATGTACTCTGCTTTCAGTTTGGCATCCCACAATTCGCTTGCTAGTTCTGCTCCAAGAGTTAGATCATCCCCCAAAATGCTGACTAGGACTTGAGTTTCAGTAGCTCGGATTGCCTGCCAGGAATGGAAAACATATCAATGAGAACATCATTGTCTCACCCAACTTTAAAGAGAGATGAAATACCAAATGTACGACATGCAAATATAAACGAACCAAACTTTAGATTTATGCCTCAAAGAGAAATAAAAATTATTTTTACAGAACAAAAAAGAGGGAAATGAAAAGCATCATTATGAACAAATCAACTCATTTCACAGATCTCGAATCCCAATATCATCTTGGAACTAATAAAAATTGTATGCAGGATTTCTAAATAAGCAAAAAAATAATGGCACAAGGCAGTGAGTTCTCATGGAATGAAGATGGACCAAGCTACTTATGGATGTAACCACCATTAACATCACTACGGTTGGGCTATCAAACACGGAGTCAGAAGTGAATTACATCCCTCCAAAAGCCCTTGCATGAATTTGAAATAAAAGCTCGGGTTAATTGCCCTAATTAGAAGCACACCCCTTATAAATCCCACCAACACATGCACCCACTACCACTACCACATTCACCTATGATCCATGATTTCCCTGTTACCACTATATAAATTGAATAATTGGAGTCTTAATGAAAACAAGAGAAGTGGTCTCCTTCCAGCCTCTTCTCTCCACAGTCACCATCACCATCCGCCACAACCACCACCTTCACCTGGGATTGAGTGGTGGATTTGAAGCCCGGACGAAGAACTGAGATTTCATTTTTCAAAACATTGTATGAATTCAAATGATTTAAGAACTTGGGGGTGCACTGGTGGGTGCAGTAGTAATGAAGGTCTATGTCAGAGAGACAAAGTAGAATATTATAAGGGTGTTCAGGTATTTGAATTTAGTTAATGGTATTTTACTACTACTTTAATATCTAAACAGAGGCATTTAAATTTATAAAACTTTCAGCCATTGACCTGAGAATATATTAGACAAGATCACAAGAATCTTTGATGGCATCAACACCTTTTTGTCTTGTCAGTAATGGCCTCAAACCAACATATTTCTAGAAGGGGTGTCAGTTTCATTTGACAAAATAAATTGTCCCAGTATTCAGGGCCACACATAAGAGGAACTAATTCCCCTAAATTCTTCGAAGAAATTGGACTACAGATGCACTTGGCAGTAATTTGATATTGATGTGACATAACATCTATCAACACAAATGCATAAACTCAAACATGAAATGTGTTATTATCACCTCGTTCTGATCTTTTTGAAGCTGCTCCATTATTGTAAAAACTCTTTCTATTCCTAAGCTGACACCAATTGCAGGAACCTGCTTTGTACAAAACATTCCTATAAGGTTGTCATAACGTCCACCAGCAGCAATTGAGCCAACCTGAGTATGCAAGGAAGTCAGATTATTTCAGAGAAACACATATGTAGACATGCTTACGTGTGCTAAAGGTGGGGAGACGTTATATAGTAGTCCTCTTCACATCTCATACCATCATATATGCACTTCTCCAATATAAAGTCCTGTGGAGGGCAAGTTGGTCTGAGAATGTGGCTCTACATAAGGATTTGAGCATTCAAACCACTCATATATCGAAATTTTATAGGTATCAAAACATGGGGTACATAGCACATCATATACTAAGGAAAACATGCACTAGAATTATAAAGAAAATTTCGTTTGTCAGGGGTGAGGGGTGGTGGATTCACAATGTCTAAAGTTGCAGCTTCCTTATTATTGCAAATCATAAAAGAGGAACAAAAGTCACTAGCTAATCATAATTCCAGATTACCCAATAAAACCTGCACAATAGAACATAATCACACAGAATCCTTCTGTGCATGCCATTATAACTCGCAGTTAATATGTCATAAAAGTTCACTCACATTCTTTGATTCTCACTCAGCTTTTGATTAATATACATACGACTACATGCAAGGCTCTTACACGTTATTTCTTTAGATGCTCAAACTTCGAGAAATGAGACTTACATTTGAAACCAACAGCTAACATCTTAAAAAATTTACTCATCACTACACCAAAGAAAATTAACAATCTATCACACAAGAAGTTTACAGAAGGTTGATCCACCTTGCATTTGATGCCAACACACACACACACACACACAGATTAAAAAAGGAAAATATACCTGTGTAGCCCCTTTAAAAACAGCTTCAAAGATAACTCCAGTATAATAATCGAGCCCTCTCGCGAGGCTCAAGTCAAAAACCACTTTGTCAAGACACCTTGACTTTTCCAGAGCTTTAAATAAAATCTCTAAGTCATTTAGTGCAAGAAGGGATGCTGTATTCTGCAGAAACTTGCTGCCCTCTCGTTTGAGCTTAGATAGTAATTCCAGAGGATGTCCCCTTTCCTTCACAAAGGTACCAATATTATCCGCTGTCTCAGCTGTTAAGCCCTTCTCATCCATCTAGCATACAATGAAATATATGTTATATATATTCTCATTCTCATTCCTCAAAACACTTTAGTAAAAGAAGCATTATATAGCAGCAAAATATAGCTCTAAATCAAACAGCAGATGCATGTCCTCACCATTTCTTTCTTTATCTGCTCAAATGATTGTTTGTCCAACTTGTCAATACTCGAACAAATAGTTCTGAATTTATCGGGTGGCACTCCACATATCTCCAACATGCCATCCAGTAACCTTCGATGGTTCAACTTCACCTGTAAAAGAGATAAATGTTTCAAAGAGCACGCTATTTATTTCAAATTCTAAACCCTAAATATATGCAGGATATCCAGAAAATAAGGAAGGTTATATTAATGCATTCAGAGTCAACTAGAGACCCTGACCCAAGTGATCAACTGGCTTGCAAGTAATATCATTGGTACCAAGGCACAAACATAAATCCACGTATTAATGTACACCATACATTCAATAAGCTAAGATGTTTTAACATTAACAATCCCTAATAATGTGATTCTGGTATCATTCTGTTTTAAGACCTTAGTCCCATGTAGAAAGAGCAGAAGCTATCATGGATATTGGAGACAAGATAAAGCAATGTGATTTTCTGTTTGAATAGGAATTTTTAATGCCAAATAATTACAAATACAAAACTACAAAATATGTTAAGAGCAGCAGCTTGGAAATTACCTCATAATCCCCAATATTTAATTCGTCCAGCAGTTCAGTCAAAATCTTTATGACCTCAAAGTCAGGCCCCATTGTTTCATATTGACCAGCAATATCAAAATCACATTGATAGAACTCACGGTATCTTCCCTTAGATGGGTTGTCCCTTCGATACACCTTTGCTATTTGATACCTTTTGAATGATGTGAGTCCATTCATGGCCACATATCTAGCGAATGGGACAGTTAAATCATATCTCAAAGAACAAAGCTCCCCACCCTGTACACAAACAATGGGATGGAAAAAATGAACTTCTCAAGATAATTACTTTTCCATTCAGATATTAAGGTAATAGCGAGAATAACCAATCTTGAGATGATATCATGGAAATCCACAATAATGGAACTCTTCGGGTGCCACAAAGGATTCTTGGGAATTAACTCATCCACACCTTTTCAAGTGCATCACGTAACATTCACAGTAAATAGTACATATAAAAAGTGCCAAGCTCAATCAAAGAGGCCGAGGAATTATGAGAATATGAAACCATAATACTGTCGTTGGACTTCAGAAAGGAAACTCACAACAGTCAAAACTCACTTGAAAAAGGATCAAAACAAAAATGAAACAAAGACTTCACTTGAACAATCAAGCAATTGACAATATACCTGGTCCGCAAGGTCATATATCAACTTTGAGTCTTCCCCATATTTACCCATGAGAGTCTCCCTCAATTCAAAGACAGGGGTATCCAGGCCCATGGCACCATGTCTCTTAAAAACCTCAACAATTATCGAGAAAGCTTTCTCCCTTATGGCCATCTGTTCTTTTGCAAAATCACGAGTACCCTGTTATGTAATGAACAAAATATCCAGGTCAGTATGATGTATCCTCATTCAATCCAAGAAGACCCTTTTCACTATCATAATTTCATAAAAATAGAAAAACGAAGCAATTATATCATTCAGTATGGAATGATAGATATAGTTACAAAACACCGTATATACAACAGACAACATTTGTGCAAACAAAGTATGAGAGAACCACAATCCAACCTATAACAGCTTCGCTTCAATAGAACTAGCCTTTAAATGATCAATGAGGACATTACATCAGCTAAGCATACTCCCAAAAGTTTCTATGCATCGTTTTTTTTTCTCCTTCTTATGGGCTCATTCAGTGAAGAAGAACCCCTCCCAAAGGTTTCTACTCAATGCAATCTCCTAATTTTCTAGTAAATCAGAGTCCGTGTGTGCTTATATTGATTCCAAGAAAAGTGCTCTCCTATCTGCCTTCCTAAGTCCAAAAACATCTACAATATGCCAGTAAAATCAATATCCCCTGTTCAAATTACGTTCTTTTTTTTTACTTTTGTTCTTTTCTTTTTCTTGTAAGGAGGGGTCTTCGTCTACTTCCTTGACCAAGTAATGACAATGAAGGAGCTGCCTTCGGCAAAATTGCCGCTTGGGCCAAAATTTTGGCATTTCAAAGACCCACACATGCAAAAAGGAAAAAACTATGTTACTCACAGCAGAAGGCACTGAAATTACACAGCCTAAATTAAATCTCATGATTGTGTAAGCATCCCAAATTCCAGTTGGTCCCAGGATTGAGCTTGAGCTTATTATGACTACTGTCCCATAACAAGCTCCATTGTCAAGAAACTAATGCACATACTTTATCAGATTAAAATTCAAGTATATTACGAGAAAATACAAATGATTTCAAAATAACAGATGATAAGTTCCAGAACAGGTTGAATTGTCACAGCTTGAGTGGTAAAACAGCAGGTACAAGAATGGAACACCAATGTGACTGGACAGATCAACCTGAACCGGCCTTGGATAGAATTGTCAAATTTAACAGCACCAAATTAACACACCATATGTGTATTTCAACAGTATGCATATGGATTAGCTATACCAAGTTGTAATACAGTGATGATCCACTAGGCTTGTGAAGATTAATTGTCACAAAATTAGGCTTGTGAGAATTGATATCTTAACTAGATAAAACTGATGATAAACGACACCAAAAGTGTCTCATGAAGTTTATTCTCCGTATGCAAAGCTTCAGACAAATTCAAATGGCCTCAACCCTGTTCAAGGTGTACTTCTGTTGCAACACCTCTCTATTGAACACCAATATCTTCAAGTCAATTTAACAGTAGTTCCTAAGTTTCCAAAGTAGTAAAACGTCATGGATTAAGTTAGTAGGATCTGAAAATCTTCAACTAATTCTAAAGTTCCTCTTTTACATTAAGTCTATGTTAACTAACACAAAGGCACATGAATACTCTTCAAACAAAAAAAATGGTCTACTTTGCTACCTTCGGAATCTTGGGAAGTCTTCTGCTTTCATTGCTTTCCACAATCTCTTTCACTTTCTTCAACAGATCATCAAAACCAGCGTCCTTGGGATCCAGAAAGGAAAGAAAATCCTGCACCCATTTCTCCACCAGGACCGAAATATCCACCACCTCATTTGTACCCCGCAGTAACCTATCCCTAATAAACTGCACCAGAGCAGTAGTCCCTTTCCCCATAACCTTCTTTCTCTTCTCACTCTTCTTGTCGGCTTTTCCATTTTCTCCACTTAAAGGCACATTGCCCTGAGATTTTTCGATCAATTCACTCCCCTCAAGCAACAGAAAGGCAGCAGTTGCCTCCCAGGACACAATCTTCCTCACCATTTCCGACAAACTATAGACGTCATGCACAAACTTAACATAATCCTGTTTAACAGCGTTTTGCAAAGACATATACAAATCTTCCAAACTATCAATTCCAGGGCATCCATTATCGAACATAGCCACCAAACCAGAACGCAAATTCTCATTGGCTATCGAATCAAAATTGAGCTTTGCCCGGCACCAACTATTCTCTCCCAAATTACAGAGGGGCCGAGCCAATGCCACCAATTCGGCGGCCAACGCCTTACCAGTCCGGCGATTCCCGAACCCGTCTTTGCCACCCTTGGAAGCTGAATTCAGTTCGACACGCGCTTGGGAGTGCACCGACCTGGAAAATTTCCTCAAACTTCCATGGAGCTCTGGAATCTCAGAAACGGCGTCGTACTCCATCTTACCCACCAATTTGGAACCATTGAGCAGGACCTTGAGATCACTGGCGACGCCAACCTCGTCCTTGGCAGAGGAACCATCGCCGGAATCCATCAAATTAAAAGCAGACACGTCGGCTCTCAATGCCTCACAAGACAACGCCGCGACGGCGTCGGCAATGGAGCACAAAGCGGACGACCAGTGATCCACAAGCGCGCAGACACCACCAAGAACAGCAATCGAAGCTTCCTCAGTGACATCAATTACGCATTCATAATTGGGTGTCTGACCTAGATTTGAATTTAGAGCATCAGAGAGCTGACTAACAGTATCAGCAAAAGTGGAATTGTGTGTAGAAGTGGAGGAAGAGAAAGACGAGCCAGAGAGCAAGAGCTTGTTCAATATGAGAAGGAGAGAAGCTCTGCCCTCCTCAGGGGTTAGGTAATCGGGAACGGAGAAGTGGACCTTCGACGATGAGGACGGTGGGGGAAGTTGACTGTTACTTGACGTCGATGGCAGCCTTGCCAGTGCGGATGAGTCGATTCGCACCTGAGCGAGGCCATGGGAGACCTCAAACACGGCGGCGGATGAGAGCGACGAGCCCTTCCCACCCACCGCTATCACGCGTCTCTCCGCCGCCATTAACAACGCGAAAAGTGTTGACGGCTACCCTCTTGCTCCTCCTCCGCCTCTCTCCTCCGTCGCCACTCACCGCTCCTCCTACTAATACTACTGCGAATGTTGAGTGCTTTTTAGGGCTCCGAGCCCAATTCGACCCACCGATGATTCACCCTTGATCCAGATGTTTTGGGCCGAGCTGGGCCTGGAATATAACGGTCACTATCTTTTCGTGGCCCAGACCCACTCTCTTTGTCCTATCATATTTTTATGAAAAATTTAGAGACCGGTCCCCTATATAGATTTACTAGTTATTCTTCGTGCCTAAAGACACGAAATAATAAAAATAATAGTTAATATATTTGTATTCATACCCAAAATTAAATCACAAATATAAAGGAGAGATAAAGAAATTTAAGCACTAATTATAGTGAGAGTGAGCGGTAGTAGTGGTGGTGGTGGGTGACAGTGGTAATGGTGGGAGACGATGATGGTTGTGGTGGGTAAGGCGACGGCCGTGGTAGTGGTAGCAGCCGTGGATGGCAATGGTGATGGTGGTGGTGGGTTTTGAGTAATGATGATGGTACTAGCAGCCATGGGTGACAACGGTGGTGGTGGTGGACGATGGTGATGGTGATTGGCAGTGGTGGCGGTAGGACGACGACAGTGGTGGTGTGCCATGATGATGGTAATGGTGGGCGATGATAGTGTTTCTAGGCGACAGTGTGATGGGTGGTGGCGAATGACAGCGGTGGTAAGTGTGGTGAGGGTAAGTGATAGTGGGTGGCTGCAGTGGTTGACGATGACAAGTGGTGGTGGTAGGTGTGGTGGGGTAGGTGACAGCGATGGTGGCGATTGTGGGGGACGATGAGTGGTGGTAGTGCTAACGGTGGGCAACAGTGGTAGTGGGATGATGGTGATAATGGTAATAAATATAATAATATGGTGACGATGGTGGTGGCCATAGATGACGATTGTATCAATCGGTGGTGGGTGGCGATGGTGGTGGTTGCGGCGATGGGACAGTGAGGGTGGGATAGGGATGGAGGTGGGGCAATGGCGATGGTGTGGGTGGAGGTAGGGCAGTGGCGATACTGGGGGTGGCAGTGGTGGATTGGCAATGGTGGTGGTAGTTGTGATGGTTATGAGGGGTGTTGATGGGGTGGTGGTGGTGGTAGGGGGTGATGGTGGGACAATAACGGTGGTGGTAAAGTACGATAGCAGTTGTGATGGTGGTAAGGTGCGACAACGTTTGTGGTGCGGATGATGGTAATGGGGCGGTGAAAGTAGTGGTGGTAGTGGGGTGATAAAAGTGGTGTTAGTGATGATGGTGGGGGTGGTGGTGGCAGTGGTTTTGGTGGTGGTAAGGCAATGGACATGGTGATGGAGGTGATAAGGTGGTGGCGACAGCGATGGTGGTGATTGTGGGGTGGTAGGTATGGTAGGGATGGCGATAGTGATAGTGGTGGTGGTGGCGGGGGTGGTGGTGGGGTGGTGAGGGTGGGGGTGATGGTGGTGGTGTGGTGAGGGTTATGATGGTAGAGGTAATGATGGAGCGATTTCAAACACAATTTAAAAAAAAAAAATATTTATGAGAAATAATTTTTAGAAGTACTTTTAAAAAATCATTCCAAACACTTCTTTAAAGCCCTATTTTTCTTATTAAATTTGGAATGTTAATATTAACCGTTAGATTAACTTTAAAGTAAAATTTAAAACGATCTGAACCGCGAATAACAAAAGTCATTTTGTTTATCTTTTAATATTTGAATTGTAAGTTACTTTATTATATAAATTTGGAGATAAGTTCGACAAGAAAACTTATTTAGTTTTAAATCTATTTTTTGTCAAGTTTACTATTGTACCCCTACCCTTTAAAAAAGCAATAACCGACGTCTGACTTACCGTCTCCTTTACATAAGTTAGATTATTGATGTGTATATATGAAAACCATTGATTGAGTTATACATGGAAACCATTTGTTAAATATTATGATAACTAACAAAAGTTATACATTCTGATAGTTATATGAAAGTTTGATGTACGAATAAATCACTGGTCTATTAAATTAAAATCAGATTGCAAAATTTTCTTAACAATTCAAAAATTCCTTAACATTAGTATTACTATAGTGATACTAATTTTACTATAGTGACACAAATGAGATTGTTTTCTTTAAAATATTCAATATCCAAAATAAAGAATTACACCATTTCAAACAGTAACACATACTCAATCCCAATTTTCACTTATACCAATTGTAAATCTTCAGATGTATATTATGTAACATACACATTTAATTTCACAGTAACATCAAAGGTTTGTGTTGAGTAATACATCGACTTTTACAAAATATAAGACAATAAGGTTTTCACAGTAACGTCAATTTTCAAAAGATTATAGTGAAAATACGATCCATAAATTAAAAATTTACAAAATTTCTAATAGTAACACACTGTTGACAATTGAATTAGGACACTCAATATCAATTAAGAACATCAAGACATTGAAATTCGAAAATTATTTTTTTAATTATCACACAGTAACATGATCTATTTCACAGACACACAAACCAAGACATTTACACAACAAAGAAAACAACAACATCGAATTATATAACACTTTAATTTAGTAATAATGAATTTCAATTTTTAAATTAGGAATGCAAAAAAAAAAAAAAAGGCAGTTTAAACTATATATTCTGTAGAAATTTTTAAAATCCTACTTTGAACATCAACTTTCATGTAAAATCACATACCTTAACTCTATTTCTGAATCCCAAAGTTGTGAAGATGTTTTAAATGCAAAGAATGAACAATAACTTTGTCAATGGATGCCACAGTAAACTTAAAGAATAAAATCGAAATTGAGATTGAGTTTGTATTACTATTTGAAATTGTAGAATTCTTCATTTTGGGTATTGAGTATTTTGAGGAAAATAATCTCATTCGTGTCACTATAGTAACGCTAATGTTAAGAAAATTTGAATTGTTAAGAAAATTTTATGATTTGATTTTAATTTAATAGACCAATGAATTATTCATACATCAAGCTCTCATATATAACTTTCATATAAAACGTCAATTAATTATCATAATATTTAATAAACGATTTCATATATAACTCAATTAAGGATTTTCATATATACCTCAATGATCTAACTTATGTGATTTTTCATAACTAAACAAAACTAATACCGTTAGAGGTAATTTTGAAATTTAAAAAATAAGTGAACTTAAGTATCTACATATAAGTTGAAACATGGATTTAGCCCTAAATAAATTCAATTCCAAAATTCAAGTTATTAGAAGTTCATCTAGGGGGACTCACCTTCAATTTTCACTATTCTTATTGATTGATTAATTTTGACCCACAATTCTCAGAAAAGTCTATGGTATCAAAAAAAATATGGTACCATATTACTGGTTATAAATTTTTATAGTAAAATTATATATTTAAAAGAAGAAATTACAGCTATTCAAGGAAAGTCATGATCGATCACAGACAACCATGATCGATTATGGACTTTTGGTATCGATCTCAACCTCATGATCGATCATAACCTTTAAAAATTGTAACTTACGCCTCAAAAAAGTTATAATTTAACTTTAATAAGTTATAATTTTCAGCACAATACCGCTGACAATACCATAACCTTTCCAACAATTCTTAACCTGATCCACATCCCCCCCCAAAAAAAAACACAAAATTGACACAAAGAATTATTGAATGTGAGTTTTAGTCATAAGTTAGTAGTATTATAATCAGATTGACTCATGAGTACCTCTTGATTAATGGTTTATATTAGAGTTTAAGTTTGACAAGATACGACTTACACAAAGTTTAGACTCAACACAAATTAGATTTGACTAAGGAAATTCCTCCCAACACAATCCATCAACTTGATATAAAATATAAGTTTAAATTTAATAGATTCTTGTCGTAATTGGATTGATCCAACAGATGCATTAAATAAATAGTTCGATGAAATTAGCTAATTTTGTTACAACATGACTTATACAACTTAAATGTTTAATACCCGATTCATTATCAGTCCTACGTTGAATTTATTTGAAAAAGGAAAGAAAAAAAATAGGAAGATTTTTAGGACTTATTTGTTTGATGGGTATGGGTAGATATGAAATGGTGAATTTAATAAAAAAAAAAAAGTTCAATGAACTATAAATCTAAAGAGTTGAAAAGTTAACACAGGTACCTTTAACAATTATAGATACCCAATTTTTTTTTTTCAAATCCCTATCTACGAAAAAGGTCAATGATCCAAACATAACATGTTACAAAATAGGAAAATGTTATTTAGATCTAATTATCTCTGCCAATAAAATTAAGCTATTTCAAACTTCAGTCAGATTTCTTGGATATAACATCCAACACTCAACCGTTGTTCTCATCAACATTTCTGTCTAATTTGCTGATAAGTCTCTTGATGAAATTAGAGACAAAACTCAGTTATAGAAGTTCTTAGGGTCCTTGAACTATGTTTTAAACTTCTACAAAGACCTCAGAAAAATAGGCAAACCCTTGTATGAGAGATTAAGAGATAATCTTCCTGCTTGGTCACCAATTCATACTTCCATAATCAAACAAGGCAATCACTATCAAGACTATGCTTTGTTTTGGTATTCCTTTGGTAAATTCTTTCAAAGTTATACAGACTGAAGCCTTTGACATTGGATATGGTGGTATTCTTCTTCAAAAAGTTAACCCAGATTCTCCAAAGCAAATTATTAGTTTTCACTCTGAAATTTGGAACAACGCACAAAGTAAGTACCGTACAATTAAAAAAAAATTGTCTATTGTCCTGTATATCTCAAAATTCTAGGATGATATATTAAATCATAAATTTCTAGTAAGAGTAGATTGTAAAAGTGCAAAACATGTTTTGAAACAGGACATATAAAATATTGCTATTTCGCAGATTTTTGCCAGATGATAATCTATTTTGAATATTTTCGATTTTGATATCGAATATATTAAAAGTAGTAGTAATTCAATTCTTGATTCTCTAACTCATGAATTTTTGCAAAATTTTCATGGCAGATAAGAAATCCAGTAAACCACCTATATCTAGCAAAAAACCTGAAAAATACTATGGTAAACAG